TATCACAAGTCTCGACCTTAGCCTACGAGTCTGAAGGTGTATTTTCTTCAAAACTTCAAATTTTCATTTCTATGCCTACCTTACTGTTGGTAACAGATATGTCAGTGTCATAATTTCTTAGGAAAACTTGCCCTAAAATAACATCTGTTTCTATAGTCTGTATGCCAAAAGATATGAAGTGACTGTTCAAGTTTTAAATCTTCAACTTCCTACTGAACACACAATTTTCTTAATGTTTTAATTGGGTGACCTGTTATAAAAGTTAAGATACTTTTGAAAAAAATTTTACGTGCATTATCTAACAATGTCGTATTTGTTTCACTAAATTTGCCTTCAGCAGAGAAAGTATAGTGTCTGTGATAATTAATAATTGACTTTATATACCCTATATCTTAAAACTAACTACTGGTGAAATTTCATTGGCACTATGCATGGTTGATGTATTAATCAACATTGCTGGAAAATTACTTCTAGCTCTTTTTCATAATTCAGGTTCAAATTAGGATTTTGTATCTTCTGCGACTGGTTGTTACTCTATTGGCTTTAAAAAAAAGTTTCGGGCTTGGACATTCTGTAAAATTTACTGTTTTTGAGGTTGCCTCAAATCATGAGACATATGACCCTTTAATCCACAGTTAAAGTATTCTACTTCCTTGTGTTCTTTTGAAACCATCTCTAGTAACATACCCTTATGTACAAAATTTGAAAAATTTAACATTTTATGTTTTACTCTACCACGCTTCTCTCGGATCTCTTCTTTGGCAAGTCTTTCGGTTGTTTTTTTTATTTATTAAGTTAATCTTGAGATTCCCGAGATCATATCCTTGTTTTTCTTTAAGCTCCATTCTTGTAGATACTTCTATGAGATCTAACAGCATTATTCCATGTGTATTTGTTTTGTTCACGTTCAATCTCATTAGGTTATTGACTAACCCTTTCTCATATTAGATTGCAACGTGTTTTGTATGATAAGCTCACTTGGATGTGCAAATGCTTGTCTCAGTCAATTACCTAGTTCTTGAATCTATGTCCAAATGCATTGTCAAATTTGCCTCTTTGTTGTGTTAACGTGTTTGTTTGTTTCATTATAGTGTTCAGTGTTTTGCATCTTTTATATTGTCTTAGTATCTTGTTCTTTAACATTTTCAAATCTGAAGCTAGTCTCAATTCATTGTACACCCTAGCTAACCTCTTACCTCACGCAATGATCTTATAATCAGTATGTCTGGATTTTGTAAACCTGCCCAGCCTGAACTACATGCTGCTATATTTAAAGCATCTATAAAACTTTTGACGCCTTCTTGTAATTCTAATTTGCAATGAAACAATTTAATAACATTAGTTAAATGTGTGTAGTACTGTTTCGCCTTGGATGAACAGGCAGAACTACTGCTGCCGCCTATGTATGCTGTAATTTTCATTTTTGCCCATGCATCACCTTCTTTTATTCCTACTATAGCTTTGGCCATATCTAATTCTTTACTTTTACTTCTCCTTATTACTGATTTATGGTAAACTTTCTTCCTGGTTTTCACAACCTTTTATTGGTTAATCTGTGATCCTGGAGAAGTTGATTTACTAAGTCGTGGACATTATTTGAGAAACAGTTACTTATCACAAGTAGCATTTATTCAGAAATAACAATAGTTTTGTCAGAGACATTTTTACACAGATTACCAGCTTGAGAAAAGTTACGTGAAAATAAGAAATTAGTCAGACTTTTTAAATGAAAACATAAAACACTTATTAACACCAACAAATACTGTATTCAAATATCATGATTACAAGAACTAATCAGAATCTTAGTATAACTATAGAACTTAGAGCTGGCACTGGAAAAACCTTTAAAACTTAAGTTACATATAGACAAAATATACTCACTGGGAAACTGAGACTTCTACAGGTGGGATAGAGGGGGTGATTGGCTGGTGGCTCATTTTCTGGACAAGTTGACAGCTAATACAAACTTTCAGAGACATACTTACTGCTTTTCTACCCAACCTTTATTTAGAATTTTTAGATGTTATCTCGCTTATTGTTATGTAGACACCCATTTAGCAAACAATCCCAGTCACAAGATTTGCATAACAACTCTCTGTTCTCAGGACCCAGCAACTCGAAGTTACTGACTTATGCAGTTGAAGGATAACCTTAAGTGAGAACGTTTGCTTAGTATATTCTCATTAACGTCATTTCTCTGATGTTCTGTCACCACTTATCCTTTACATATATTTAAGTTTACATTGGGCTCATTATTAACCGTTGGTCTCGCATTAATTTTCTTGACATTTGGTATGTAGAGATAATCTTTTCCAGATATTTGATACTGTTTTGCATGTCCCCTCCACAGAAAGGCTACTTTTGAGATAAAAACTTAGCTTGTTATTACCAGATTGTCATATTTCAACCAAAAGTGGAATGTTTTATATTCACAAGTGGTAGTCTTTTCCCTTGTATTTTGTAACTGCTGTTTCCCAACTGTAAACCATCTTTAATATGAACATTACAAAGAAGACTACATTGAAATATTTTCATTGTATAATATTAGGTAGCTTACAGATAGTATTCTTTATTTGTGTATACTCCTAACTTTGACTGTTATTCCCGATATGTGATTATTTTACTATTTGTATACAAATAAGTATTTGCTCCTTACAGGAGTAAGATATTTATTTAGGCTTTTGAAAATTAGAAATTTTGTCCACTTAAAGACCTACAAAAACCAACAAAAAGAAAAGAAAGATATAAATACAATATATATATATATATATATATATACTAACCTTATCTTTATTTGCATTTCAGAATCAAGATTAACTGTGTACAGAACACCACCATTATTCAAAGTTTCTTTTCTCTTGAGGCCCGCCATATTGCGTCCCTCTGTGGGACAGCGACAAGTCTTCGGATTTACAACGCTAAAATCGGGGATTCGATTTCACTCGGTGAGCACAGCAGATAGCCCGATGTGGCTTTGCTATAACAAAAAACCGCGTGCATACACACCGTCATATTGCTTAAAGTAATGGTTTAAAGTTGTTTAGGTCACTTTCAAGAGGCTTTAGTTTACGAATAATATTGCTTACTCTTCAATGACAGTTAACTTACTTTAGACATACCTTCGCTAAGTTTGCTTTAGTTTACGAACACATTTTAAGTAATGTGAGCAGCATTAAGTTTATGATCACTCTGTTGGTAGGAAACGTGATATTCATAGGGTGATTATTTCTTTTTTACAAAACAAACATTCATTATTAATACCATCACTGTACCTGAGGAACAATGTTCACTTATGAAATAGGCTAACCAAATAATCAGTTATTAGTCTATTTATTAAAAATTATACCATTTATCTTAATAAACTATGACATAACATTTCAGTCAGATGATGATGCATGAGTAGGAACTTTTACTTTTTGTATGTATATTTTGGTTAAAGTTGCTTCATTTAATACAAATTCAGAGCATGAAAGAGCATAATTAGATCCTGGCCATGAAGGTATTGAGGAGCCCACAAGAAAAAATTTTATAATCAGTGTTGCATACAGACCTCTCTACAGGGATGGGGGGATGTGAAGCCGGGGGGAATGAATTCAAATTCGACAAAATGGAAAATACTGTGCTTTAATTAAAAACTTGATTCAACAGATTTACAATGATATGTTTAATTGTTATTGGTTACGATATTTAAACGTAATTTTTACAAACTTGCAACAAAGAAAAAATTACGGAAAATACATGCAGTCACTGTAGCTACTCTTAGAGAAGACGAACGAGTCTTGGTTTTCTTCCGTGCATATAAGCCAATAAATCTTGACAACAAGGTGTCTGAAAGTACATTAGGCCTCTTGATGCTATTCTTCATGCATCTTTGAAGCGTAGCTTGTCCCACCCAGTTTCTCAACTTATTTAAAATACGGTTCATGACATTGAAACCGGCACCACCATCAGGCATTCAGTTAATTTTTTAAGATTTTCGTAAGCGATGTTTGCCTTCCACATTTTTTATCTTCATCTTCTTGCTCCCTAGCAACATACTATGTGAGCTCAAGTCAGCCCACATGGTATCAACATCCATCCAATACATTATCATATGTCAAACTGCACATTGACTACACCATTGGGAAGGAAGCGCATACGTTGATGAGAGAGAATGCTTCATCATTGAATCGGTACTCATTTGTTCAGTCACTGTGTCAACGTGATTTTAACGTTTTTAAAGGTTTGACACTCTGGCTCATTTTCAAGAATTGGCCGCACACCAGAAGCCCTCATTTTGAAATCTAAGACAGCTATAGCAATAGAGGTTTCTTCACTTAAATGGACACACTGAATTCATATCTCTCTAAAATGTGTTACCGTCGACGCCACACGTTGAGGAACTGATGACAGGTTTGAATTTATTTTTGCAAAACTCTGCTGACATTAAATACACAGAGCTTCATCCAAATTTACAAGAATAACAAGATATTTACAAGATAACAAGAAAACTAAATTTCTTCATTTCCAACAAGATACCCGCTGCTAACAATACTAAATCTGCACCATTTTTGTGTAGGTGTTCACAAGCCATCATAATTGAGCAGTAACAAGTTAAGACGACATGAACAGATTTGTAATTACTGAGCCAGCGCACACTGACCGATTCTGGAAATTTTAGTTCTGGTTCTTTCAATAACCTTTGAAAGTCGTGCAACACGCGTTCACGCTTTGATGACGTGTGGAATAATGAATACATGTCTTTGATGACATGAAGAACCATTTTCACAGATAGGATTTTATTTTACAACTTTAAATAACGCACAAAGCAATCAAATAACATAAAACACTACTATATAAATAGTTTCCACACGGGCTTATAAAGCCGCTTTTCTAGAAACGTTCACATTTCTAAGAGTGTCTACACATTTAGAGAAATATGAAGAATGCTCGGTAATAAGTCTATGTTTAGCTTACACAATATAACTGTATTTCTGGGTTCTTTGATATAAGCCCCTACTTCTCGAGGTACACATTGGCTAGATGTCAAATTCAAACACGCTTTTCTTCGAGAAGTCACCAGAACTTTGCATTATTGCCTTTGTATAATCGTTTAATCCAGATATTCGATGAAATAATAGTGAATCCTGGCTCATGCCCATGACTCATTGGTTATTAGCATCTCTCTATAAAAAAAGGAAAAATTATAATCTATAAAAAAGAAAATAGTTAAAATATTTCAGGAAAGGAAATGTTTGCATAGGGTGGAAGACAGAACTGGTTATAATCATGCTCTGCCAGCTTGTAAAAGGTGTTCACACTATAATAATTGTACTTGTTTTAAAAAAGGGTTATATTTTCCAACCATTACTGTGTTTGTTGTATCACAGCTGGCCCGGAGAGTTCTTAATGGAGTGAAACGGTTGTCACCAATTGATATGACGTTTATAGCGTGGTTGAAATGCTGTTATCATACATTCTTATAATTCTTGAAAATCCCTAAGGGACTAGATAAAGAGTGTAGTCTTTAAAAATATATTAGGCCTAATACTAATATCTTATGTCAAGTATAATGTAATTACAAATTATGATCAAATTATTATCGCGTAAAAAGAAGAGGTGCAACTCTGATACATCATGTATTTTCTACAAATATGTATTTTCTACCCCTCGTATTAATAAAATTGTTTTCTTTTTATTCTAGTGTATGAGCAGTTTTCGTGTAACATGTTGATCAAGAAAGTCATTAAATTCCTTGTGCTATAGCTGCTTATTGTTCTGTGTCATTCATTGGAGGTAATATCTCATCGTCCTGTGGGGAAGATAACTGTAAGGTTGAAAGTGGTGTGTGAAAGTAGACAGAAGTTTTATCCAGCGGTAGGTCAGGTGATATTTCGAGGTTTCAACTTCCCTTATTTTCTAAAGGGAATGGCCAGTCAAGTGGGTGTCGCTAGTTGCTTTGGGAAGTATGATCTTATAGTTTTAAGTATATAATGCAATATCTTCAGTCTGAAACTTGATAAGTCTTATCAAAAAACAAAGAAACATAAAATATTTCTCTTGTAAAGACGATTTTCCTTTGTGTCAATACACACACTGTTATTTTGTGTTGGAAATATATTGTTTTCACTTGTTTACTCAATCGAGAAAAACAAAGAAACTAGATAAATAAATGAAGATAAAGTTGACTAAAGAAATAAATGTATGACAGAGTAGAAGTGCTGGAAGTTGATTTATTTCAGTGAGAAATAGTCCAAGCATAAAATATTTCTCAAGCAAATATGCAGATGATGATGGGAAGATAATTTCAAATAACTTGTTTGATGACTTGCAACTTAAATATAAGAAGGTCCAGAAAAAAGAAGATATGCTGGTGATGAACTTGCATTCTGAAGAATATGAATGATGAAACACTTGAAAAGTGTACAAAGTACAACATGTTGGACATAAAACTGCAAGGTACAGTACTCAGTAGTTTCTGATACGATACCTTATCTCATCTCACATAATAGCTTTCCTCAACTTGTGCTGCCCTCTATATGCGCAAAATTTCTCTCACCACTAGCCCTGAGGCTTCTACCCAACTTCACTGTTTACACATTGTATAGTTACGTTGTAGCATGCCACAACCCTTCACCATTAAGAGTGTGACACACCCTCCAAGTGCAATTGACTTCCTCTGTACTGAAGATCACACTCAACCCTTCTCGATATGGCATTCACGAGTGCAGTCGTTTATTTTCTCGTTCCTTACATCGCGTTTTTACTTTAAATTTAACGTTTTGACAACTTTAAATTTGTTGTATTTTTTGTGGAAAATTTTTCTTTCTTTTTCCATATTATGAACTCACAGTTTGATGTAACAACTAATGCTTGTGGTATGGAACCTTCCACAACTGATCCTACCAGACATAACACTACTTTGGCATTTGGCTCTACATTTTCAGTCTTGGTGCATCGGGAGTTGAAGTCTTATGTGTGATTTGTAGCATCTCCTGGCCCATGGTCAGGTGTCCCTTTCTCTGGGGAATCTGTGCCTGAGAGCAAAACTTGGAAAGCATTTTTCACCTCCTGCTTTTGCAACCACTTCTCAGTCTCCTTCTATGAATCTCCCTCGTCTTATCTCGACATGATATCTCAGGTTTGTTACATTTTCTCTCTTTTTCTTGTTTCCTCTGATTCTTCCTCCTCCCTTCTATATTTTGACCCAACATCTGATTATTTTGTTTCTGCCCTCCCCAGATATCTGTGCCCATGCTGACCACTTCCTTTCTCAATTTCGTACTGGTGCCAGCATGTTTCGTCCCCCACATTTGATGAACATGCATGCTTTAGCTTTCCATAGGTCTGAATCTCTTTTTATTGATTTTCGGACACTGGAATCACTGATTCAGACATGAGGCTCTGATTTTCTGCTACCCCTTCGTTTTTCTCATGCTCAGTTCACTTCCTATGTTATTTTTCATACATTCTTCTCCTTTCTGAAGCTAATCCACTATTCTCCTGAGAAGGTTTCGCCAGGTACGCATTCCATTCCCTTCTTCACATTAGCATGTTTGTCTTTTTCAGTTTTGTCACTCCATACATGATCACTTTGTTGTTGGGATCGCCTTAGCAAGGGTGCCCTATTGTCATATGTGTGTTTGCCTGCTTCTTATTTGTGTGACCTTAATTTGGCTCCTTTTCTGTGCCAGTCTGTCTTTAGAGGTTTCCCTGATTCTTTAGAGATTCATGTGGAGGTGGCGTACCAACATTCTTCTATTTCTTCTCTTGCTTCCTGTACTTGTAAATTCTCTCCTATTCCCGTTTCTCGACCCCCAGCTTTCTTTGCTCTCCCTGTAACAATTCCCCGTGTTTCAGATTCTAGTCATCAGATCTCCCATCATTGCCTTTTAAGACGTCAGTTTTGTTGGGCACTACCCATTAGGTTTTGGCTCAGTGAGGGCACTGTTGGTCCCTTCTCATCGGGATCCACTTTCTTGCCAGCATTTTTTCGAGATGATTTTGGATCTATTTCAGACGGATGCTATCAAACAGGTGTTTTTCTCTTCTCCGAGGTTTTATTCCCGTCTATTTGTTGTTCCCAAGAATACAGGGGATTAGCATCTGATTACGAATATCTTGAACCTAAACTCCTTCACTGAACTCCCTCATTTGATCATGAAGTCTTTTCTAAACCTCACATGGTCGTTCACTTCATGTTTCAGATTACCAACGTCAGTGTCTCAGATGCTTATTTTCACATCCCTATTCTCCTGCATCCAGACATTACCTTTGGTTTTTCATGGGGTCAGGTGTTTCACTTCTGCACACTACCATTCAGTTTGGTGTTGGCTCCATACATCATCTATCGCGTATTCAGAGCCTTTGTCCATCATATTCACGATCTGAGGCTGCAGTTTCACCATTAATGGACAACTGACTTTTAGGTCTTTTCCAGAAAGCTTCTCACAACCATACCCATCTCCTTTTTCAGGAGGTGGCTCACTTGGGTGGCTTGTCAAACTGGAAAAGTCACATCTCATTCATTTGTGGGTGTTTTTCAACTCCTATCTCAGCAGGGTCCATCATTCTTTTCTGCATTTGAAGGATATGGAGTATTTGGTATCTAAAGCCAGGACTTATCATTCCCTCCCTGCACACGAGGTTCTTTTTGGGTCTTGGTTTTCCATAGAATCCTTCATGTATTGGAGTCATGCACACATGCATTTTCTTCCATGGGTGCTGCACAATCAATGGAACCATGCTCAGGATCCTTTGGACTCCTTCATTATCTTCCTTCCATCCTACAAGTTTATTTTGCCTGGTGGCTCGACAGAAACAACACCTCGACTGGTGTTCCTCCTCCTTCTTCTCGTCCAAATCTTCTTCTTATGGGCACCTCTCTGACAGGGTGGGTTGGGTGTACTTGGATTCTCAGGAGATTGCTGGTCATTGGTCGAATTGACTCAACACATCAAGTTTTGGAGCTCCTAGCTGTTTATTGAGCGTTGGATCATTTCCTTCCTGAGGTAAGGGAACACCTTGTAATGATTCTTTTCCGACAATTCGGTTGTTGTCTCTTATATCAACCATCAAAGGGGCACCCAGTCTCATTTATATTGTTTTGGAACACTTGCTCTCCTTTTCTGGGCCCAATCTCAAAACACTTGTTTATTGATTGTCACATCCTCGGTGTTCTGAGTCTTTTTGCAGCTTGACTTTCTAGTCCTGAAAAGATTCTACTCACTGGTCTCTTTCTCCTCAGGTGTTACATTGACTATGCTCCCAGCTAGGTACCCCTTCTGGATGCATTTGCCATTCACCTAATACCAAACTTCTTTTGTTCTGGTCACTTGCTCCATATCCTTCAGCTCTTGCTCTTGATGTGTTCAGTCAGAGTTGGTCCAATCTGTATGCTTACCTTCCTATCTCTCTTCTTTCCCTACTTCTGTCACTTATTTAAATCCCTACATATCGGGCCCTTCCCCACACTCTGTTCTTGCAGTCCAGCCATGGTTTCCAGTTTGAACCTTCTTCGGTAATCTCCTCCCCTGCCACATCCTCTTTCCCAATCTCTTCTCCAGCAACCTCATTCCTCCCTCACTCCTTCAGCGATATACAAAAGTAAGGTTCGCGCGCATTTTCAGGAGAGACAAAAAACTGAATATCATTATAATATTTCCATTTCACATGGACAGCACAGTCCTTTAATTTGTAAGGAGTTCCAAACTTTCTTTGCAGGTAGCCTTTTTTGATTTTCATTCTGTTTGTTCTTTCTTTTTGCTTGTTTACCAGTGTAAATTTTCCGTTGTTGTTCTCTGTATCCCAACAAAGTGTTCCCCACGTTTTCTATTTTTTTACCTTGTCTCCTTGACAATGGTTTATCCATTTCTACCATTGCAGGCTATAAGGTGGCATTATCCAATACTTTTCATTTCCCCCCATCTTTTCCTCTCCTGTCCTTTCTTTCGTTTTGGTTCTTTTACCTTCTTTGTCCTTCCCAATCAATTGTCCTACCAGGTTGTAATCTCAATGTTGTCCTTCAAGCCCTCCCTTTCTTTGAGCCTTTAGCTTTTTGTTAGATGTACCATCTGTGTTTGAATCTGTGTTGTTCATTTTGTAGTTTTTATAGCCGCTGTATTTGTATTTCGTATTTACAGCAAAGCTAATAAGGTTATCTGCTGCTGTTCCTAATTTTGAATTGCTGGTCATAGAGAAGACACCCAAGAGAAGGCAATCGCCCGCCATCCACTCAAAGGAATTGACTTTCACTCTTATAAACATACACAACTTTAAATGAGTTGGGCATATTTTGTGGAATCGCACGGCTTCGAACTAGTTTCGTCAGAACCTGGCATGACCTGGTGGTTAGAGCGTTCGATTTACAAGCTGCATGTCACGGGATTGAAACCTGTCGTCGAATATGCTTGCCCTTTTAACCGAGTGGGCGTTATAAAGTGACGGTAACATAATGTGGTAGAAAGTATTATTATCGCTCCATGCAATGTTCATAACAGAGCGAGAGGTGAAAGTACATGAACAGAATACATTCGTTATGTATTTTGCGTGTTCTTTATTCGGAAGAGGAATTAATCTTCACATGTTAAATTGTAAGTTATCTGTGACTAGAATCTATGATAGTAATGAAAGCCTTGATGGTTTTTAAAAGGATTTGTAAATGTCATAAAGAGTTTTGTAAATACCACCTCGTGCTCATATAGCCCATTATGATGCTTCCTCGTAATTCAGAAATATTTTCTATTGCCTGATATTTGAATTTATTAGGGAAATAAAAGTTATTTACAAACAAAAAAGAACGACCTTATGAAACAGCGGAACATAACATAGCAGTAAACGTCAATCTAAAGGTTCCAAGATAATGTGTTTTGCTCATGCTAATAATGTTTACAACATACTAAAAATATTTCAATAATTGACATAATATCACGTGAACCATTATCTAACGACGTTAGTTTGGCTTCATAACTCGCCCCTGGATTGATTGAAAAAGAATCCTGTAATAAAATAACTTAAGTGTAGATGACGTTCAAAATGGAGAACACCTACAAAGGATACTTCCATGATTGCTACATCAAAATCCTGTTTTCGCAGTTAGGCCCAAAGGATCAATGAGTTGAAATGGAATTCCTGGTAATAGAGGACCCGGATTTCACCAGGAAAATGATAAAGTCTTAATAGGCCATATCGTTGAAGACTGGAAGTGTTGTGTGAGTTCACCAGCAAATCCTTTCGGCAGTATTAGGTTTCTTACTGAATTTAATGGTCCACGTGTGAAAAATATGTTATTAGGAAAAGCAGTTCCTAAAACTTCTCTTTCTTCTTGTAGCCGAAGTTGATCATACTCAGTATTTTTTATCTAAAAATATAGGAAAGCTAGGCCATCGATTTGACACTTGCAGCTTCTGTGAATTCATAAAGGTAATTGGTAATGGGTTTAGTTTTAAAAAACCGATGTCATTAGTCAACGTTCCAAACTCACCGGGTTGTATCATATATATTGAATAAGGATTCACTAAGTTAGTTGAGAAAGATAATCTATCTTCAGCCATTCTGTATTTCATGTATGGATTTTCCAGTATGTCCTTGTTTGGTTTGCTAATAGCTATATTGTTCTTATTATCAGTGAGTAAAGATGAGCTATAATTAAACAATCCAGATGTAACAAGCGTGGTATCATTAGATTCGGAAATATTCAAGTTTGTAACCAATTTAGGTTTGTATAAGTGGTATCAGATCCATTGTTTTTTTTTTTTTGGAATCCAAATAATTGGAGAACCAAGAGCTGGGAATAAATCCTTTATATTGTAAATCCTTATCTCTGAGCCACTGTTAATGACATTTAAAGAAGTTTAATGTAACTCTATGAGAAAAATTGATTTGAACAATGATTTATTAAACTCGAAAATTTCCTTATCTGTTTATCTTGTTTTGTAATATCTCATTTGTAACTTTAAAAAATCAACTATATATCACTTTAAACTTTGATTTTATATGTACTTTTTCATAAAATGCACGTTTATGTCATCGACTAATATTAGTAAATGAGCCTTAAAGGTTAAAACTTTTCGAAACTTTAAAAAAATAATAAGTCGTGAAATACAGTTTGTTTGTTTTTAAATTAAAATGCTATTGAGTAACTTGTATTTCAAGTTCTTTTATTTGGTGTTACAAAAGCATATTTTATTATATTCAGTAATAACTTGTTTTGAAGTTTGATTTATTTAAATAATTCTAATATATGTATAACGTTACTTTATATATTGTCCCCCAGTGGAACAACGGTTAAATTCACAGTGGACACAGCAGATAGCCCAATGTGGCTTTGTTCTAAAACAAACAAATAAATAAACAAAAACTTTATATATTAAAGATAAAATTATGAGAATACTTCAGTATGGACGTAACATTCAACGTGACACTGCATCACAGTGCTAGAATGGGCTTAATCATATTTTAGATTTGCTAATGCGATGTGAAGTTTCTTTAGTACATCAATATGAGACTCTTGATCTTTAAAATACCTTTCTTTTGTAACAAGAAATTTAAAAAATTCATACCTGTGGAGTGGAAGAAGCAATCAGAATTAGGCCTGAAAATATAGGAATGATATAAATAAGTAATAGTAAATTAACCAAGAAATATAATATCTTATTATTATATGCAGAGCAAGCATGTCACAAACAATTATTTCGCTACCGAATTTTTCTTTATAATTCTTACTGCACGATTAGAACGTCACAATACGCTTCTGATTCACGACATTTGTTATTGGCCCATTTTTCTTTGAGGTTACCATTTATAAAAGTTTTCAAACCGTGAGAGATAATTATATACTCCAGAAATCCATGTTGGAAAACCATATTATTCCTAAACTTCCGAGAGCAAATGTTTTGAATATAACGATATTTATGCAAGATGCTACTCTATCCCACATTGAAAGATTTATCACTTCAAAGTAATTAGTATCTTTATTGCAACATTACTTATTTACATAAAATGTTTCTAAAATAATACAAAAGAATTCTAAATGCAGACACCGTAAATCTATAAGTCCCCTTGTTTTAGACCTAACTTTAGTTAATCCTTAATTTGGTATGGCGGGTGTGCGTTTTTGGCTTCAGTTTAGTTAGGGCTAACTTTACCTTATTTAATACTATCAATAGATAAATTTATAATGTTATTTTACAAACTAAGTCAGACCTTTTTAAAAGCTTTGATAAGCTTTGAAAATATTGTTGTACAAACTGTCTACTAAAGTATATTTACATCCGCCTTTTGTGCAGTGCGCGGGCATGCGCATTTAGTTAGTAAGGTTCGCGCGCATTTTCAGGAGAGACAAAAAACTGAATATCATTATAATATTTCCATTTCACATGGCCAGCACAGTCCTTTAAGTTGATTCCTGTTATATTTTGGTTCTGGAGTTAAATCAAGTTACTTATCCACTGTGTTGCTCTTGCCAATTTTTTGAGCCTGAAAGATAGCATCCGCGCCACCTACTCATACTGGAAATCAGGCAGCTGTGTATCTCGTCCTCTCGAGAATAGAAATAGATGTGGACAACTGTGTCACAGCAAAAATCACGTGCATTATCTTGCTATGCATATTTTACTAAATAACGTCCCTATTAGCTAGTTTGCTTTTCATTGTCAACATTTTTCTTATCACTTGATTCTTGATTAGTGCTATACGAAATTTCAAAGCCTACAGATGTCCATATTTGGAGTTATGAGACTTAAGTCTACTAATTTTATATTCGCTTTGTATATAAACATAGGTGATTTGGAATAACTAGGCCTAAAAACTTGGTGTCGTACATACAAGATAGACGAGTAAAATTTGGGTAAAACTACAGAGTACTAATGGTAGAATGTATCCTAGTTTGAGAGGTATGAGCTAAACAGGATCTACATAATTGTGGGAATACGAGCCTCACACGTGAATTAAAATGAAAACTTAAGAAAATATATGGTTGCTAAAGCACACATTTGAAACTATACTTATCCTTTTAGGCAGGGATGTTACTCCTGATGAAACATGAAAACAATAAAAAAAACAGGTTAGTAAAATTAGGGTGTGACATAAAACCCAGCTCTTGAAATTGGCATTTCAGTATCCGTAATTATTGTATATAACTGTATAAGCATCTTAATTAATCTTGTACTTTATATTAATACGGTTTTAAATATGCAAATCAGAATGTCACATAATAACCACAGTCTACATAACGTCGCAGTAGAAGACATGTAGGGGATTGTGGGATAAGACAGTCAACTTCACTTTGAATGAAGCTTTAACCAATTAAGATGAATGTCAGGGAAATGCAAAATGTTTTAAAATGAACCCTGTTTTATCACAAAAGTCATTTCTAGTGAAAAACAAAGATTGAACATAGACCTTTTTTACATATTGAAAAAAATTCGGTTGGGAGCCACTTTAACTATAAGCTTGAATCAAACGGATTCTCAAGATTGATGATAGCAATTCAAATTAAACGTTGCATTTAACTGCTGTATTTAAATCACTTAAACCATTATTTAAATGCTCCAAGCAGGAGTCAAAAAGTTTCTACACAATGTGCAAGTTGCTCATTGTCTAGGACAATGGTGCAAACAAACGTGGGTAATAACGTGGAACAATTACGAACACTGATCTTTTTTTACGGCAAATTAGGCTTTTTATAATTTTTCAATGTTTGAAAATAACACGCTCAAATTACCTGAAATATATATACTGCGTAACTAAAAAATCAAAGTGCTTATATTAAATCAAAGTAAAACAAAACAAATAAAAAAAAAACGAATTCGTATTTTGATCATTCACATTCACATTCGCGCTTGTCCGCCAATGTGTTTATATATGGAGTATCACGAAAACGACAGTTACATATAATTCACTCCATATGGCAGCACGTCGTAACTGATGATATACAGGGGTGGCTGTTTTATTGAACAGGATTGTCTTGCCTTACTTCCTTCTCTCAGAACAACATTTTTCATTGTTTGGCATTTCATAGGTAGTGTGATGCAATAAAAAACTGACCGTTTTTCAGAATATCATGTAACAGTTTCTATCAACACAAAATATTCATAATCTCAAATCATAAAGAAGTGTTCAGATTGGGAAGTTAGGATTTGCAAGATTGGGATATTACTTGTACTTAATGGCATTGGAAGAAAAGAAATATGGATTAACTTGGGGCTCCAGAACCACCTAGGAAAATACCTGCAACAATTCATGCCCTAGACAAGGTAAGCAAAATGTGGTGTCTTCTAAAAGGTGAGAATACATGAGCACAAAAAAAGATTGCAAAAGCCAATCACTTGCCCCAAGCAACAATATGCAAAATAACCAAAAAGGATCTTCGTCTTTAAATGAGACCAACAGAGTATGGGTTATCCGATACAAAGCTTCCAGTCATATGTACCATTCAATTGTCACATACCAAAAGCAAGTGAAAAATAAAAGGGATATTCCTTACGAAGACATGCCTTACAAGTCACCAGGTACAGTGCCTACAGATTTCTGTGCAATCAGGCTGTTCAAACAGGCTATGGGAACTGTCGTCTTCGTACACTAGATGGATTTGGACGTAAACATGAGGAGCTGGAGCTATAGACATGACAGCTTAAAATGACAGTTGTGTTTTCATTTAATATATATATACTGGAATGCATTTATTCCATAAACATTTTGATTTTGTTAAAACGTATTATGTATTGTATTTAATTAGATTGGCTGAAGAGCAGTGTAAGCTGCGAAAGCGCTTCCAACAAACTAAAGATATTAAAAATACAGTATTTCGAACCTGGTGGTCCTTTTAATATTT